GATCATTTTCATTTTAGGGTGAACGATCCCTTTAAACAACTAGTTAGTGATTTTCAACTATCCCGTTAAATCACTGCTAGTTATAGGAACCTTCAAAAAAATCTCCGCTGACATATTTACAACAAGAATCATTTAATGGCTTATTAAAAGCATCATGATTCAGCTACCATAATACTAACTTTCAATCTTTATTCTTTGCTGTTGTCCTTCAAACAATAGGTATCAATCATTCACTCATTCATTCATTTTCCTTCAGCCTAGTGTCTTGCAAAGTTCCAACCCCAATCAGATACATCTGGACTAGGTAATCAAGGCTTTCTAGAAACATCTTACATGTGTGTTGGGGCAAGTTGGAGCTAAAATCTGCGGGATATCGGCCCTCCGGAATCGAGTTTGGACACCCCTGGTTGGTCCCTTTATTAATTAGGGGTCACCACAGTGGAATGAAACACCAACTATTCCAGCATATGTTTTACACACCGGTTGCCCTTTCAGCTGCAATCAAGTACTTAGAAACATTATTGTAAATAGGCAACTCATTATATAACAGTAGTTTCTTCTGCAGACAATCAAAAATATATATTGCTTAAGGGGGCTAATAATATTGAGCTATTAAAACAGGTTTCAAAAAATTTAAACCTGATTTTATTCTAGCCAAACTAAAACAAATAAGACTTTCTCCAGAAGAAATTTTTTTTATAGGAAATACTACAAAAAAAATTCCTCTGTTAAACATTATTTGGGAAATATTTATATATAAAAATAAATTCACAGAAGGGCGAATAATTTTGACTTCAACTGATAATCGTTTTGATTAATCGTGATTAAAATTATAACCAAAATAATCGTCATTATGATTTTTCCCATGATCGAGCAGTCCTACTCTACTGCCAATTTAATTTATTCAAATCACCTAAACTGGCATGTCTTTGGACAAAGAGGGAAAGCAGAGCCCCCGGAGGAAACCCAAGCGAACACCGGGAGAACATGCAAACTCCACACTGAAATGCCAATTCAAACAGCCCAGGACTCGAACAAGTGACCTTCTCGCTGTGACGCAATAGTGCCAACCACTGAGCCACTGGGCCACCCCACAACAGATTTCATTTCATACGATTTCATTCATGTAAAAACATACAGCTTTTAAAAGAGGCTCAAATCCCACCCCTAACTCTATCCCTCATTTGGGGGATGAGCATGAATTCGATCAAATCATATTAAAAGCTTTATGGTGCAGCTCCTATAATACTCATTTTAAATCTTAATTCTTTGCTGTTCTCCTTCAAACAACAGGTTTTGCTTCATATGATTTCATTCATGTAAAAACATACAGTTACAGGAGCTCAAATCCCACCCCTAACCATACCCATCAATGGGGGATGAGCATGAATGAGATCAAACCTCACGAAGTGCAGTGAGACTGCATTGGTTTTACCTATTAGGAAGCAAGAATGCATTTTTTCAACCGTATTTTGACGTTTCTATTGAACCAACTGCACATATATAAGATTCTCAACATTATACATTTGCATAAAAATAATTCTTTCCGATTTCGTTTTGTCCAATCAATCCAAACTATCAAGAATCCCCTCACTCAAATCATGCTAAATCACAGCGTTTTAATTTCAAGGTTAATCACTAGTCTTTAAACGCTGCATTAGAAATGCACTTCATTGATCGGTGCTCTTTAAAGCCGCATGAAATAAAGCTCATCGCTGACCCACACTTGCCTCGAAACCAATGCGCTTTTATTATGCCACTTTAAGTGTGTGAATAGGGGCCCGTTTGATTGGTAATTGGATTGAGATATAGCTGAAGCGGTCCCTGGGGGATGGGAGCTCGTGTCATTGCATTGACGAGCAGATCCAGAGCTCAGAGAGCATGTCAGAGGTCCACACTCATCTCCAATACAGCAGCAGCTGAATACCGACTATATAGTTTGCGTGAGCTGAACAACACTGCCACACTGAGCCTGACTATAACACTGCAAGTATTGCAACTAATGTTATTAGAGCAATGGTCAACAAATAACTCAGCACATTGCTTGTCCACCTGCCAATATTATCAGCCCTCCTGTGATTTTTTTTTAAATTAAATTTTCAAATTTAACAGAGCAAGGAATTTTACATAGTACAGTAAAACTACAGTATTTTTTTCCTCTGGAGATAGTCTGATTTGTTTCATTTCGGCGAGAATAAAAATTGTTTTACATTTTTTTCTACACCATTTTAAGGTCAATATTATTAGCCCCCTTAAGCAAAGCTTTTTGTCAATATTCTATAATGACTTGCCTAATTAACCTAGTTAAGCCTTTAAATGTCACTTTCAGCTGAATACTAGTATCTTGAAAGATATCTAGTCAAATATTATTTACTGTCATCATGGCAAAGATAAAATATTATTCACTTATTAGAGATGAGTTATAAAAACTATTATGCTTAGAAATGTGTTGAGAAAGATCTTCTTTCTTTTAAACAGATATTAAGGACAAAAATATACAGGAGGCTAATAATTCTGACTTCAACTCTGTATACTTTTTTAATGATGAAGATGTCTGTATGAATTTAGAAAATGAACCACAAAAGGAACCAGGGATATTTCACAAAAAGAAAAAAAAAATACATTTACTGACTATTTATTTACTTATTCTCAGGTGATTCCAAACCTTTATCAATTGTTTATTATGTTGAAAACAAAAGAAGATACGTGGAAGAATAAACAACTGACTTGCTTAGAAGGAAAAACAAATATTACAGAAGTCAGGGGTTACTAGGTTCCGGCTTTCTTCAAAGTATCCTCTTTTGTGTTCAACAGAAGAAAGATATCAAAAATGTTTGACAACTGAATTGTGCATAAATTATGACAGAATTTTCAGTTTTGGGTGAACTATCCCTTTAAAAGGCATTTTGTAAAGTGATTCTATTAAGATTCACTTTTTCTTAAGCAGCTTTAGATGCCTGTTTTGCTATAAAAAACATGCCAATAACTGATCTAAAAAAACAGAAGCACATTAAGCTATTTCTTGATATAATATTTAATATGCATTTAATCAAATTTTATTGAAGTTTTTTTTTGTGTAGTGCTTTTTTTACATTAATGTTTGTTCCAAAGCACCAATACAAATGGTGCATGTTATTACATTACAGTCAAAGGTCATGGTGTTGTGAATAGTGTGGACAGTGTATACACATAGTTAACCTGCAGTATATATAGTGTTCTTTTCAAAAAGGGCATAACTATGTGTATAATACATTTTCAATGAGGTGTATTTGTGTACTGCTTAAGATTTTTTGTTGTCTATGAAGTCCTTGGAGTTTAATTTAACCTCGAAACAATGCCAAAGTAAAAAAGAAAAAAAATCCTAATGTCTGATTTTGCTGTTGTTTTGCTTCATAAGAGCTAACTTTAGCATTAGATGCCATGGGTATTAATTTTATTTTGCCTGAATATATGTTTGCTTGTTTTGTGACTCTAAAAATGCAAGTAGACACTTATTTGCATTGTAAGTATCACCAAAGACCACGGTTTAATGGCATTTAGCTAAAATTCACTTTCAATGTTCTCCTGTGGTACTCTAAGCTGCCATCAGAGTAAGCAAATGAACAGCAACAATTAATTTATGAATGATTTCAAAATGTCTTTTTTTTATTCCAAAAATGCTAAATTAGTTCTTAAGTTCTAAAACAAAACAAAATTCCACAAATTCAATCTGGAATAAATCTTTGAACAAATTTTCACTGTACACAATACCCTAAATACATTTTATAAAGGAAAGACACAACAAAATGGCATTTACAGCATGTCTCAATTGACAAAACACTAAAACCCATTGGCTTAACAAAGTTCTTAGTTGCCTGACCTCATTTAGCTAATTGTGCAGTCTGCTGTCAATACCTTAAACCATTTCACATGGTAAAACACAATGTGCAGATCTTACTTAAGAGTTTTCTTTTTTTAGCAAAACTCTAAACACATTCTCAAAACACATTCTGCACTCTAATGCACATGGCATTAAGTAGCAACAATCAAATCAAAATAGAGAAAGTATGTCACTGATTGAATGCAAACACTCTAAACTGATGTCATGTTTTTCAAATTAAGTGACACAACCGAAATAAGCAAACAGGTTGATGGAGGTGGGAGGAGGAGTGTCAAAGCATGGTTAGAAAAAAACTATGTGAAAGAACGAGTGCAATGGGCAGTTTATGAACTTATACCTCCCTCCATACTCGCCTTTCCTAAATCCGATTGAGGTGTTTTATGGAGAGTGTAGGATAGACAGCCCTACACCAGAGTAGATCTGCTGCAAGTCTTGGATTTAGGATGTGGTGATATAGGTGAGGAGTCATGTCAAAGGTTGTATATGGCACACAACACACACACGCTTAACCGTGGCTTTTGGAGAGACAACATTGCATTGTGTGTGATGTCAATGAAGTGTTCTGGCCTAACCCTGAACTAAGACAAGAAGAAGGTAATTGATCACGTTTCCACCTTTGATTTTTGTCCCTTTTAGTATTGTATACTGTAGTACAGTGCATTGTAGACTGTATGCTGTACAATGAACAAATTGTATGGGCCTGAACATTGAGATAAAAAAAAGTTATGCTCCCTGAGAACTGCATCTGTTTTGTGCTGTATTGTTTACTGACTACTTGAGAGTGTCAGAGTGAATAAATTGGTTTATTATTTGAGAGCAGTGTTTGATTTTGAACACATGTAAAACTGTTTTGAGACAAAAGTTTCATTTTATTTTACAAGAGAAGTCAGGGGTTTTGTTAACAGTGTTTGAAGGTGAGGTTTTGTGTTGGATTATGTAATAAAATGGAGCTAGGGTTCTTAAATTGTTTTAGTAAACGAGAAAAACTGTAAAATGTAACGAAAAACAATGCAGCAGCGCCCCCTGTTGATGATCCGCCATGTACACAACACAACAGTTTAAGATTACTCGTTGAATATTTAGTATATATGTAGATTTTGTATCGAAGTACCAAACTTACCCAGCATCAAAATGTTTTCTTCGGTTCCCACGTGTTGTTTAAGCAGATGCCCGAATTTGGTGAAGTCTCCGAACCACTCGAAGCTTTCCTCCGTCCTGTACCGCTCATTCCAGTAATCCACATCTTTATATCTGGCGTTAGAGTCCGGCAAATAATCCATATTTCTATAACACATAAGCACAAAAACATGCGCGTATTGATTACGGACACTGCTTGTAACTACTGTAAAAGTGTCTGTAAATAATTGGCATAATATTGGCTGATTAAAAGAAATGCTGATTTGGTGAATAAAGTCAGATGACAACATTTAAACAGAAAAAGCGCGGAAGCTCCTACCGAGTCAGTCTCGCTATATGTTTGACATGTAATTAAACGTGCTTACAAAACATTAGCAGGTACAAACAGAGGTCTGTCGAATTTCTGGACCTGACAAGACAGACACAACCCACGTGTGTTTTTTTATCATGAACTCCAACCTCGATGTAATCCTGACGTCACGCGAGAAAATCTAATACGATTTCAAAATAAAAGTTATATTGCAACTCAATAAATAAGCTACCAAACGAGCATAATTTCCACTAAATGCTCATTTTGTATTCAATATGACTAAACACTAAATCATTTACTTTGGAAGTGTAGTTACTGTAAAGTGTTTTGGGTTGACTTATCCAATTTTAATAAAAAAATCTTATTTCCAAAGTTTTGTATATCCCCAAAATTTTTATTCTTTGGTTACTCTCTGAACTTAGATCCTCCTCACTGAAAATGTGTTAATAATTTATTGATTTTCTGGCTAAATTTTACATCCATAATAGTACATTTTTCAGAAAGGACTTTGATTTATATGTGAACTTAAAATACTCCAACAATTATATTATGTAAAGCTATTTCTTGGTGTAAAACATTTAAACTTGGAATTTTATTTATGTACCCATTTTTGTCTCTTTGTTCATATTGTATCTTTGTAAATGTTCGTTCTAGCATAATAATACAAAATAATTAAATGAAAATTATTTAATTACACTATTTAGGCAAGGCAAGTTTACTTATATAGTCCATTTCATGCACTATAGTAATTCAAGTGCTGTACATGAACAGGAAAGAAGAGACAAGTATAAGAATGTAAAAACAAAGAATAAAAATGATTAAAAACAGGGAAAACCGATTAAAATTGTGTTAAAACAGGTTTTAAAAGACTAAAATAGTGTACTGAATTATATATTTGTTACACTATTTTCAGAATTTATATTTATATAACTTATTTATTCAGAGTTTAGTTGTGTACTGATTAAATAAATCCGCTTGTGTGTTCAGGCCTGTAGCCAGGCTGGTAAAAGTGGTGGTTCTTTTTCTCAAAAAGTGGACCTTTTTGAGGATATTTGGCTCATTTTCTATTTAATGAGGTATATCAATAGAAAAAAAATAGGAATATGTAAAAGTTTTATTAGGCAAATAATAAACTGGGCCAGCACATTCAACTTTCATGTATTTACGAATCACTGAAAACTGGACTAAAGCAATTTATCAGAACTTCTATGTTAAGCTGTTTTGACCATAGACTGTAAACAGGCTTATAAGAAAATAAAAACAAAGAATAAAATCATTAAAAGCAGATTAAACTGTGTTAAAACATGTTTTAAAATAATGAAATAGTGTACTGAATTATATATTCAGTTCACTATATTCAGAATTTATATTTATACAACTTATATATTCAGTATATTCAAAGTTTAATAGTGTACTGATTAAATAAATCTGCAAGTGCGTTATTTAAAAAATGAAGTGTAGATATAATAATAATGAAGTGTAGAGTTTGCAAAAGTAAAGTTGTACATCTATTTCACATATATTTATATCATGTATTTGTGAACTACTAAAACTGTACTAAAGCATTTTCAATTTACTAGAACTTTAAGCTGCTTTGACCAGACTGTGAAAAAGTCTTTGACACAATCTTTAGAAATCAAGATGAATTGAAATGAACTAGGCATACAGTATTAGCAAACATGCACTGCCACGGCAAGCACTTGCAGTCACAATCAACAGCATCACTTTATTAGAGACACATCATCATTTGACTGACCATAAAGACTATTATCAGCTTTTTAATGGATGATTGTCTCTCTTTATAGGAGTATTCATTTGCACAATTTGCAGGTTGTTTTATTTGCATACAGCAATTGTTGTGCTAATCTTCATTAACGATGATTGTCTTGCAAACTGATCCAATGTCTGTAAAACGTTGATACAACATTTTGAATACGTGAGGGGTTTATGTAAATTAAATATTCCATGGACATGTACAGTGCTCTGGAGCTTATCTGGAGCTTATCTAACAAAATAACTTACGATAAAGGTCTAAAAACAAGCACAGCCAAATTAATAAGTTTTAGAAAATTTAATACATATTTAAAAAGAGGAAAAATCAAGAGAAGCAAAAAATAGAAAAATTTAGTTGAAATTTTGTAGGTTGGAATTTTTCAATATTTTGCTTGAATTTAAATGTATTATTTATTATTATTTCTAAATATGTTTGGTGACTAAAATATTATTTTAACAAATATATCTGTTCAACAAATCTGTTTTGTTTAAACGCAACAAAATGTATTATTCTCTGTAAAATGGATAAAAATATTCATTTTCAAAATGGGCTGTACTCAATTATGCTGAGCACTTTATATTAGGACTGGAAAAAAGTATGCACAGCTATACAGATGTAACTTTTTTGTCTGTTACATGGCAGGCAGGCATGCATTATATATATATATATATAAATACAAACTTTGAATAGATATATAAAAATCTATGAAATAATACTTATAAAAAAACTATTATATCAACTATCTTTTGTATAGTTTGAAATATATATTTTAAATATATTTTTTATGGGATTAATAGGATACATGGAGGATAAAACCTGCATAAATAAAACTATAAATAAATAAATACACAAATGCCTGCATAAATAAAACTATGTATAAATGAATACGCAAAAAAAATTAAAAAATAAATGTAGGCTACATCTACAAATTACTGCATAAATAAATGTGCTGGCAGGCAGACTAATAATTAAATAAATTACACAAATGTTGGGGGAATAAGAAATTGCTGAACTGAAAGTAGAAAAGAAAACACTTTTAAAACTTTTTCATACAATTTTCTAGTCTCCTTAATGTGATAACTGGATGACTTTATGGATAATTGTACAAACAGTTGTACAATGTTTTACGACGTTGCACTACAAATTTACATATTCATATGTTGTCTTTCGATATGGAAGACGAAACCTGCAAAAACAATGAATAAATAAATAAACAAACAAATAAATAAATAAATATATAATCCACAAATTACTGCATAAATGAATATATAAATAATGAATAGTGCGGGCATATAAATAAATAAATGAATGTTGGGGGAATAAGTAAAAGCAAAACTGAAAGTTATTTATCTGCCCACACTATTAAATACTTATATATTCATTTATAAAGACTTTGTGAATTTTCATATATATTTAATTGTTTGTTTGCGAATTTATTTAGTCATTCATTGTTTTATTTAATCAGAAATGTGTGGATTTGTTTATTTACTCATCATCTGGATATATATTTATTCATTCATTGTTTTATTTATTCAGAAATGTATGGATTTATTTATTTATTTAGTTATTATTTATTTGGGTATTATTCATTCATTGTTTTATATATGCAGGAATTTGTGGATTTATTCATGTATGTGGGTATTTATTTATTCATTGTTTTATTTATGCAGGAATTTGTGAATTTATTTACTTATTTATTTGGGTACGTATTTAATCATTGTTTTTTTATGCAGAAATGTAGTTATTTGTTTATTTATTTTCTTGTTTGTTTATTTATTTGGGTATTGATTTATTGTTTCGTCCTCCATATTTCGAAACATTAATTTTGAAACTAATGAAAACGGAAAACTTGCAGTTATATGTTTGCTGTTTTTAATCAAAGCATTTTTGTTGTTGATGTTTTTACTATGAAATGAAAAATACCATTTTAAACTGAGGACCTAAGTTTTGGGGGCGGTGTTTGTAGTGGGCGGGGAGTTGATGCACTTCCTTTGGCGCGCTGTGTGAAATTCAAATAAGCTGCGACTCAAACCGTTCGTTCAGCATAGCCAATTTTCTTCGCAGTACTTTCTCTGATCAGCACACTTTCGGCGGTCACTTTTTCACGGTGAGTTTTAAATTTGTCGTCTTATCTGTTTATACATTCGGAAGTTTAGTTTACAAGCGATATATGTTTTAGTTTGATCTCTTTATATTATGAATTAGCGTAGCACGTTAGCTTGCCCTGTCAAAGAAAACAAACATGTTGATTCCACTTTAACGTTAACGAAAAAACTAAAGCATCCGATTTATTTGTTAAATGAGACCGTTAAGTTCATGATAAGTGCCTCTAATAAAACGGATGGGCAATATATGTAAGTTAGCCGTTTTTTCTTTTAATGTTTATGTTGGCCGCTTGTTTAGCTGTGCAGAGATGTCGTGGGATTTTATGGTTCCGGTTTGTTTGGATGATCTGGTGAAGTCTGGAGCTGTTAATCAGTATGTGGTTCAGGATGTGCTCTCTGCTAAACAGCTTCCATCTCACATTAATAGTAAGTATTGCTATTGTTTCATCACCTCTGTATTGGGTCTGTTATCTGTATGGGTTAAATTTTTCTCTTGCTTTTATTAAGGTTTCAAAGCAGCAATGAGAAGTCAAGGGCCTCTTAGTATCCTGGAACATTTTGACACTGCATACAGCGTTTTAAAGTAAGTGTGGACTAAAGTTTTTCTTTCACCTAATAAAAATGATTATTAGTAATGACTAATAGTACAAATAAGATGTGACATTTTGTGTTAAAGTAAATTAAAGCCTATATTACCTTTTTGGTCGCTATTAAAGGTGTAGATTACCCAAAATGTTGTCTTATTTACACATAATCATGTTTTAAACGCTCGTTTTTCTTCGGTGGAACACACAATAACTATTATTATTATTGGTATTTAACAAGACCATACATGGTAGTATATAATACAGAAAAAGAAGAAAATACAGAGTGTCTTTTCTTATTTGCTCACTATCCCCACAAAATAAATAAATGTATGAATTAAAAACAAACATCTTTTGAAAGAAAAACATTAAATATGCCAAAAATATATAGATACATATAGTAAGTTTAACAAAAAAAAGATTTTCTTAGATTTTCAATATTTTCTTTTCTTTTTTTCCAGTTATTTACTGTATGATATCTCCAGGTGTTGTAAAAAGATTTGAGAGATCCTGCAAGTAAACATCTTCTCAAGTTTTATGCAGCTAAAGATTTCTCAGATCCACATATAATGTGATAAAGGAATCGCCTGTTTCAACTTGAGAAGAATGACTCGTCTAGCTAAAAGAGCAGAAAAGCAAAAATCTGGCAAGATGCGACAGTCAAGTCAACTCTCTCTGAAATTTTAAAAGGGCTGTC